TTTTTTTTTAACCACAAGAGCTAGCCAATGTCAGGTTTAGACATGAAGAGAAATCTATCAATGGGTCTGATTTGATTGAACTAGTCTGAATTAGCTATGGCTAAATCAAACTAATTAGAAGATCGAATTCCTTCCATTAAGTATTGATGACTAAATCCAAAGAGAATATACTTCTAGTTCTTGTTCCAAAGAAAGATTATGGCTGAACAAGCATCTTTAAGAAACATAAAACATGCTAAACACTAAAAATTAGGCAAAACTCAGAATGTAATAAAATTATGGTCATAATTAATTTACTTCATAACATTCTAAAACACTATCTTTTTTTTTTATTTCAGCATATTATGAGGGTATAGATGTTTAGGTTACATATGTTGCCCTTGCCGCCCCCCCCGCCCCAAGTCTGAGCTTCAAGCGTGTCCATCCCCCGGATGGTGTGCATCGCACTCTTTGCTAAAACACTATCTTTAGAAATAAACAGAAACCTGTTATGAAATTATTATTATTTTATTATTTTTTTTGAGACACAGTCTTGCTCTGTTGCCCTGGCTAGAGTGCCATGGTGTCAGCCTAGATCATAGCAACCTCAAACTTCTGGCTCAAGCAATCCTCCTGCCTCAGCCTCCTGAGTAGCTGGGACTACAGGCATGCGCCACCATGCCTGGCTAATTTTTTCTATTTTTAGTAGAGACGGGGTCTCATTCTTGCTCAGGCTGGTCTTAAACTCCTGACCTCAAGTGACCCTCCGGCCTTGGCCTCCCAGAGTGCTAGGATTATAGGCATGAGCCACCATGCCCAGCCCATTATGAAATTAACAAATGTAATTTAAGAAGTGGATATGTGGCATCTTTAAGTGGCAACAGAAAATAAAATTTAATCTAATAAAGCCATTATAAAAATTATTTGGACTAGCTTTCAACTTGTATTTACGTTACCTTCTATCAATTTGCTGATAACATTTCCTGAGCCATCCCAGACTGGGCATTTTTCTTCGAGTTGTTGCACCATTTAAATAAACTATCATGTAGTTTTCTGCTACTAACAGCTCCAAAGTGCCAATAACGTATCTGTAAAAACAAATGAAGTTTAAACTTTAAATATTATTGTGCAGAACTGAACTAGTTTTTCCAAATTATACAATTCCCTTTCTCCTTGACAATGAGAGCAAATGCAATTAAAATTCCAAAACTGCATTAGTTAGTTGGCATCATGATTATTTTAAAAAGAGCATTATTTTTTAGAGATATATATTGAAATGTTTCTAGATGAAATGACATGATGTCTGGGATTTGAGGGAGAAGTGGGAATAACGTATGAATTGTTAATTGTTGAAGTGAGTGACCGATACATAAAGATGCAATATATTTCTCTTTATCTTTATGTGTTTGAAACTTTCCACAATAAAGTTTTTAAGAGCTGCACTAACCTGAGAAATGGAATGACTATGGAAACAGAACCGAGTCAGCTCAGTTACATTGGGCTTCTAGATGTAAATGTACTTTAGTCATATGATTTTGAGATAAAAGTCAATTTATATTAATGTGCCCTTAAATGTAAAATAAAAAAGTTGGAACAGATAATCTGAGATATATCTTCCAGTTTTAAAATGACAATTTTTTTTTCTTTTGAGCTGGAAAACTACCTTTTCATAATGCCAAAGAATAAAGACTTAAAAGAATCAGAACTGGGATATTTATAATTTTTACACAGCTTAAGCTCACTTACTTAAGATGGAGATCTAATTAGCTCAGAATTCTGTCCAAACATTTCTGTTAAAATATACTTACTTAAAGAGATTGTCCATCAGGTATCTATAGTTAGGTTGACCACTTTCAGGCATAAAACAGACAGCAAACACAACAATGGCATTTAGTCCATCCCCATAGTATCCTGAAAAAGAAACCAAAAATTATTTCACCAGCCTGATTTTACTCGAAGAGTTTTTAGAGGACATCTGTATGACCGATAGATTATAGTAGTTTAATTTTCACAAATTTCTGTATCAAAAAGTTATGTTTTTTTAAACCTTGTATGGTCTTATACAGATCTTTAAATCTCCTCTCCCTAAAAAGAGAACAATAAAATTTAAAGAGGAAAGGGTGGGTATAAAAGCAAGAAAACCACTGAAGCTAGCATAATTATTATTTATTTACTTATTTTTGGAGACAGTCTTACTCTGTTGCCCAGGCTAGAGTGCCATGGTGTCAGCCTAGCTCACAGCAACCTCAAACTCCTGGGCTCAAGTGATCCTCCTGCC